TTACAGCCTCTTACGGGACAGGCAAGGTGTGCCTGGGGTTACCTTTCTGGCTATTTTCTCACAGAGAAAAACAAAAATGCTTGCATCATAAAATTTTAAAATGTTCTTTGCATAATTACCAATAGCATTTCAATTTTAAGCTGTGAAAAGAAAATACTCTTCAAACAACTAAACTTTTTGCTACAACTTCTTCTGGAGGTACTAATGCCTTCTCTAATACCCACCCCCCCAAATAACCAGGTACTATATATAAAATATTACCAAGACTTTTAAAAAAGAATATACAATAGAAATTGGGATGACGTGAGATACAATAATACAATAATAATTTAAAATGATAACTAAAGCGATCCTAACAAATAGGAATGTGATCATTCATTTAATTAAATTCTTATGTCAAGGTTTTGACAAATGTGTCATCACTGGCAAGCACGGCCGGCCCACGTTCTTGTGGTCCTCCCTCGCTCCTTGCACCTGCAGCGCTGCCCTACAGTCTTGTCTGTACCGTTCTTCCTCTCCCCCGTGAGCATGGTTTGAATCATTGCTTTCGTCTGTCACGTCATATGGTTCCCAAAGTGACAAACTCATAATGCTTTATACAATGAACTATTCCTGAAATTGGTCACGCTGTACTTGGAGGTCATATAGAAGACAGAATGATGCCTCACTAAAAGCAGATTTGAAATTGTATCTGGTTTATATTAAAACCATGTTTCTGTGTAAACTACTGGTTACTTAAATTCTCCAAATCAATTTCAAATATCTGGATATAGGTACCAAGTTACAGATATTTTAAATCAGATACATTTAAATATACAATAAATTAGTATAGTCATTATTGAAAATAGTATAGAGGTTCTTCAAAAAATTAAAATTAGAACAACCATATGACAGATTCAGTGATACACTCAGTATATGCCTGGGTATATATCCAAAGGAAATGAGATTGGGATGTCAAAAGACATGTATACTCCCCTGGTCATCACAGTGCTATTTGCAATAGTCGAGAAACACAGACAAGCTGTGTTTATCAACTGTTGAATGGATAAAGAAAATGTGGTAAGAATACTAATTCAATAGTATTTGGCCACAAAAAGAACAGAATCCTGTCATTTGTAGACGTGAGCTCATTAAAGGAAACAATTCAGGCACACAAACACAAGCACTCCATGACTGCGATCAGATGTGGAATCTAAAAACATAAGTCTCTTAGAAACTGAGAGCAGAATGGTGGTGAACAGAGGCTGGGGGCAGTGGGAAGAAAGAGGAAGGGGAACACTGACTAATGGGTATGAAGGCAGCATTAAATAGGAGTAAGAAGCTCTGTGCTACCACACAGTGTGGTGACTATAGATAACAGCTGTGTGTTTACATTTTAAGAAGCTATAGCAAAGGGTCTTGAAAGTTTTTACTGCAAGGAAATGATAAATGTTTGAGGAGATAAGTACACTTAACCCGCTTTAAACATTATGTAATATATAGATATATCAACATCATGTGGTATCCCATTAATATGTACTTCTACTGTTTTTAATATATAAATAATATTAAATAAATGTACAAACACTAGATTTAGATTCACATGCTGCAAACACAAAATTTCTATGCTTCACAAATGTAAATTAGCTGTTCATTACATTTCAATTTACAAAGAAAATGTTATATTGGAAGTTAGTTAGCTCAGCCTTTCTGTGCAGCAATTAGGTCTAAATCTATGCTTATTTTTTTGTTGTTGTTGTTTGTTTTTTGTTTTTCTTCCAGTACCAGGAATTGAACTCATCACCTTGCGCTTGCCAGGCAGGTGCTTTGCCGCTGAGCTAAATCCCCAGCCCCTAAATCTATGGTTATTATAGGGGCAGCTCTGCTTGCCTCTCTCACTGCCTAAGGTAGCCAGGTGTCTTATTGTGCCAGCATTAGACACCACCTCAGGCACGCAGAGTGCACCTGTGGGGACTGAACAGCAGCATCTGCTAACATTAAGAGGTTTCCACCATCGCTGACTCTTTTTAGCAGCTAGCAGAAAGTGGGAGCCAGGGCAGGGCAGCCTTATCACTGACACACGCGTCCTGCAAATACATCCCACTTCGAAGAGCATTTTTAACCCATTTCCTGTTTAGAAAAAAAAAGGGCAGCTCACTTCCAACGTTCATTTAATTTCAGTGATCAAGAATTACTAAATTTGGGGGCTAGGGATATAGCTCAGTGGCATAAGTGCCTACCTGGCAAGCTCAAGGTCACGAGTTCGATCCCTGGTACCGCCAAACAAACAAACAAACAAAAACCTCAAAAAAAAGAATTACTAAATTTGTAAATGGAACTACCACTGTAAGTGAAACGGTATCTTTTGTTTCTACAGACTATCAATGTACTAGAATGATGCAAAAATAATATTAAGAACTAGGTGTTTTGTGGCAAATTTGGGAGGTAAGGTTAGGATTGTAGTCTGAAAGTTATCTTGAGGTAAATGCTGCAGCAGGAAGCATCTCTGGCAGGTATTCTTGGGGGCGTATGTCATGTACTGTCTTCCTGGTCCTATGCAGCTGTGAAGAGCAGCAGATCTCAGAGTGCTAAGTAATGGAGCAGACCTTTTCAGGAGAGAACTGAGGAAGGATCAAACCTTGGTGCCCCTTTGGGGTACGGTTTCTTTTCATTCATTGCTAATTTGCTTGTCTGCTAGGAGAGTGGCTATGTGAACATTTCAGGTCCTGGTTTAGTTTTTCTGTTTTCCAGATCTATTTAAATTAAGCATTTTAAAATTGTATAATTAGTTTTTAGAAATATACTGGTTATATGTATTTGATAAACATTACTTAAGCTGTATCTAAATCTGTATTACAGTATGTATTTAAAGAAGTAACACATGACTACCAATGTACACACACACACACACACACACACACACACACACACACACACACAGAGCCATCAACTGAGATGGCTCTTGAGTGATCTGCCTCATCTACTTAAAAACAAAAATTAACGGAAGACGTAGCCATCATCCTCTTTTTGAAGAAGACATGATGATTATGAGCTTCTTCCCCTGCACTGGATATTTCCCTTTATGAAAATTTTACTCATTACTTTTAGGTAACATTTAGGTTAATTCCCAAAATCTTTTCTCCCTTTGCAATCCATTAAGCACTACTAAAATTTTCTTCTTTTTGAGACAGGGTCTCACTATGCAGGTTCAGGCTTGCCTTGAGCTCACTTTGTAGCCCAGGCTGGTCTCAAACTCCCAACGATCCTCCTGCCTCAGCCTCCTGACTGCTGGGATTACAGGTGTGCGCCACCACGCTTGGCTAGTACTTCTAAATTATCATCAGCACTGCTTCTATTTTCTTATCTCTCCAATCCATCATCTCAACTCACTGGTCATTATTTTGCTTTAATGTATGGATCCGATAGTTTTGCTCTTTCCACCATGCACTGTAAAGTGGTTCTACATCAGTTGGCTTTAAAATTATTTCCAAATATTATATTTCTGTACAACTCATCTTTCTTTTGGCCTGTCACTTAGAATAATCTCACCTATCATACAGAAGAAAAATAAAACAAAGATACCTAATTTTAGTCTTTCCTTTCAATTGTAAGACTAAAAGTATTCATGTAAAAGGATGTAGCATTTAACGAGCAGTATTAAAATCATCTTCTGCTTAGGGTACAGCTCAGTGGTAGAGCACATGCTAATTAGCATATATGAGGCCCTAGGTTCAATCTTCAGCAAAAAAAGTAAAATAAGATAGAAAATAAAATCATGTTCTTAAGAGATACCAGACAAATTTGAAGTACCAGATGAAAATGAAATTGATCATCTCCATTATAAAAAGTTTCTAGGGACATTTATAAAACACATTCTTAGTGTGACACTGAGCAGACATAAAATCCACAATAACTAAATATAATAAAGAATGGTAAGGGAACCATCTTTAAACATCAGCATAAAAATTAACAGGAAAAAATCATGCCTCCTATGAACAAGTACCTTAGGTAAACATATTATGTTGGACTTATTGTTTGTTTATTTTATGCAATGTTTTTCATATATACTCTGCATAAAAAGTTAATATCAAAAAAAGTAAATTTTAGCCAGCTATGGAGGCACACACTTGCAGTCATGGCAGTCCTGTGAAGCTTATGCAGGAGGACAGCAAGTTTGAGCCCAACCTGGGCAACTTAGTGATAGCAAGATTCTGTCTCTAAAAAGGGGGTGTGGATGGGCTGGAGATGTAGCTTAGTGAAGAATATCTGAATTCAATCCCTAGTATTGGAAAAAACCAAATCAAAACACCTAGTAAATTTTACCTGTCATCAATTATGTAAATCAAATCTTACTTCTGAATGTTATACCATTTTCTTAGAAGCAGAGCTCTTAGAACAACTTCTGTTATATAAATACAGTGTTTTTAAAGATATATAAGATAAGCACTTAATTAAAACACACCCCTGCAGGCATACTTTCTTTTTGCTGCTGAAATCTTGAGTCTTTAATTCTCCATTAAAAAAATAAAACCATGATTATAAGCTTTCAAATCATCCGAAGATGTGAAAGCCTGCCTGTAGTTCAGCCCAGTTCAAAGCAAGGAAAGAAATCATTTCTTCTTCCAACTCAAAGTGTGTTTAGAAGAGGGACGTCTGATAGAAGTGGTAATGCCAATCTAACCAATTTAAAAATATGAAGTGCTTCTAACAATATTTGGATACATATAATTTGACGAAAGTTTTATAAACCTAAGCTTTGAAAAATAGAAAATATAAGCCTCAACACAAAGCTTAATATGTAATTGAAAGAAAATAATATTTTGTAGAAAAAAATTTGTCCTCTCAAAGAGAGACAAAAAGACTAACTTATTTCCCAAGAGAATTATGCCACTTTTATACAACAAAATTATGGTCACCGCAAATTGCTTTCAACAATTCCATTGCTTCTTCATTTAACCACTTGAAAATCAAAATTCTTTCAGATTATAAATATAACTTTTTATAACTCTGTTATTACGTACTGTGAATGGGGAAAGGGGGCCAATCTTGTGGCCGTGGCGTCGGATGGCCTCTCTGATGTGGCAGGGCTGGATGGCATCGCTGTGAGCCTCCGCACCACAGGCCGCGGTGCTCTGTGACAGAAAAACACATAAACTGTTACTAAATCAAAAACACGCAACAGAACTACAGTGTATGAAATATGAAAATAAACCTTTATAGAACAGGCCATTTTCCCCGCTTAAGACGCACATTGCTGTTGCCATATACTTCAACTAAAAAAAGTTCCATTAACAAATCAAAGATGACTGTTATGTGACCCCTTCTGAGAGACCCCTACCAAATGCAATTTTTATGTCTACAATATTTCACCTAAGCCTGCACGTCAGGGTACAGGAGGATACCGCCACTTGCGTGTAAATGAAAACTGTCATGAGAGCTTGTTGAAAGAACCACAGGAAGCTGTTTTTTTTTTTAAAAAAACATTTAAACATTTATTATTATAAATGTTTCTTGGGAGATTCCTGGGCATACTTCTGAAATAACTGGAGAGTCATCAATTTGAAAAGAAAAATGTAAAATTGCTATATATTTATTGTACAGGAGACTGTTATAAAAGAGCATTCCAACTTGGTTCCTACTTTCTTGGTATCCTCGGGACAAAACACAAAAACTTTCTATTTTTATCTCATCCATCAGAAGTAATTTTGCAAATAGAACGTAAGACAGAAAAAGATTATTTGCAATGAGAGTACTAATATCAACTCAAGAAATGACAGATGTGTGTGTATGTAACATGATTTTTCAAAAAACATTAAAATGCTCAGTAGGGGTATTATAGTCTTGTGGATTGGTTTTAAGTCCTGGCTTTTCAACTGCTTTGAGTCTATATCCCAGCCCTATCACTTACAAGGTCTGTAAAGTTGCATAATATCTCCAGGCCTCAGTTTCCTCATCTGTACTTTGGAACAATAATTGCTCTAAAGGATTGTTGTGAAAAGTAAGTAATTATCCAAATTATTTTGGTCTTCAACAAGTATGGGTGACACTTGTGTTTTCGCATGTCTTTTAATTTTTATTTATATTTTAGACGTTTGAGCAAAATACTGTTGACATAATGGGATTCTGTTATATTTCTATGAAGAGAGTTGTTGGAGATGGTGTGTTTCTGTTTATGTGTTTAGCAAGGAATTCCCTTTTCTAGACTTACCTCTCAGCTTCAGGCTTCTCTTTGAGTGGTAGCAGCTAGACCATACAGCAACAGTTTAGAGGTCAGAGATGTAGGTAAAATTTGTAATACCAAACATGGAGATTCTTCATTTTGATTGTCTTTCCTTTTTTTTTTTTTTTTTTTTTGAGACAGGGTCTCACTGTGCAGTTCAGGCTGGCCTTGAGCTAACTTTGCAGCCTAGGCTGGTCTTGAACTCACAAAGATCCTCCTGCCTCAGCCTCCCGAGTGCTGGGATTATAGGCATGCACCACCACGCCCGGCAAATTGATTGTCTTTCTTGGGAATTTTTCCCCCCTCACTTTATCTCTGCTGTGGTTTCTCTGAACTCTGGCATCTAGTTCATGAAGTCTGTGACGTTGTATCTTAGCCACTCCAACATGCACTGGAACTAGCTCATGGGTCACAGTAATAAAATCAAGAGGCTCAACCTTGGTTGTTCCCATTGTCTAAGCTTAGACCTGCCCCTGCCAGTCTCAAGTGCTCTCATGGGCTTCTTTCTTTAGAACTTGTCCAGTGCTTACACCTTTAGCTATATCTTGGTTAGTACAAGAGGAACTATTTGTCATTAAAAGCTGTAGAACCATGCCAAGATGTACTTTTACAATTGATAGTAAACAAATTTAAATTTCAGCTTCATGTCTGGTTTCCCCTTTCTTTTACCAAGGAGTTACATATATCTTTAGTGCATCCATGCTATTGTTGGACACAGGCCATGGCAAAGGTATTGGGATGACACTTATATAGTCTAGAGCAGTACTGGTGAAACTTTTAGCGCTTTCAATGAGAAACAGCCTACAGTGGTGGATGTGCCACAGGTTCACCACCACTGCCCTAGGGTAATTCCTATTCAGATTATTTCAAATCATTAAAATAATGAAAATAATCAAGACCTGTTTTGTTATATTTTAAGTCTTATTTCAGTCTCAGGTTGGATGTTTTTGGTCTGTACATTTTTAAGTTTCTTTTTGAGTTTGTAATAAAAGCATCGACATGGTCTAAGGGTATATTTGAAAGTACAGAAGAGGCTACAGTGAAGAGTAGCTTTCTCTCTAATCTCTCTCTCTCTCCTTCTGCCCCTCCAGGATGTCGGTGCTAGTGCTGATTTCTGGTGTGTCCTTGCAGAGACTGGCTGTGCTAATAAGTATATCAGATTCAGTATTTTGTCTTCCCCAACAGGTGGTGGCCTAGTGTTATCCACCTAGCTATGTCCTTTTCACATAACAGATCTTAGAAATAGCTCTACAAGAGTGGTTATGGTTTGTTGTGCTTCCTGTTTGTTTGAATAGATATATGGTAATTTATTTAGCCAGATCTTCGCTGTGAACATTTAGTTCATCAATCCAAACAGTGCTATTGTAAATATCCTTGCATGTTAATTATTTTGCATCTGTTTAATATGTCGGTAAGATAAATTCTTTGAGGTAAAATTGCATACAGTTGATGTGCTTTTATTTTGATGAGATTTTGCTAATTTACTATCAACAGAGGTTGAAAGAATTATGAAACTAAAAATTGTGGTAATTATCAGAAAAATTATGGTAATTGTAGCAAATATCAGAATAATAAGTAATGCTAATTAAGACATGATAAGCTGAGAGAAAATAGGTGAAAAGCTTATTTTTCCATATGAAATGTTACTCGGGATATATATAGGGTGCCAATATACTGGTTATAAAAGCAACTGCCCCAAAAATGGAGTAAAGGATTTGAAGAAACATTTCTCTGGGGAAGATAAATGATCAGTCATTTATCAGCCTGGTCAATACATACAAAGGCATTCAATACCAGTCAGGGAAATACACAAACTGCAATGAGTTACCAATAATCATTAGAATGATTAATAGTAAAAACAGTAACAACATCAAATGTTAATGAGGATATGGAGCATCTAGAATGCTTAAATACTGCTGGTAGATATATAAAAAAAAGATACAACCATTTTGGAAAAAAAAGTCTTGCAATTTCATTAAAACCCCAACATATACAAAATTCTGTGACTCAGCAGTTTCACTTCTAGCTGTCCACCTAACAGAAATGAAGGTATTTGTTCTTAAAGACTTGTACAAGAATATTCCAGTTTGTTAGTAATACCCAAACACTGGTAACAGTTTAGGTATCCACCAAAAGAAGAATAAATAAACTGGCATGTTCCTACAGTGGAATGTTAGTCAAAAAAAAGAAGTGTATGCACACTGAAAAACAAAAATTTCAAACTCTACAGAGTAAAAGAAATTTGATACAAAAGAGTATATACTACATTCTTTTTATATGAATTTCTAGAATGGAAATGATAAAAAAGAACAATGGTTATCTTTGGGGGGATTATGGCAGTAATTCACTAGGAAGAAACATGAAGGCACTTTCAGAGCTGATGATTATATCCCATATTTTGACAGAGTTTTGGAAAAACACAGTTTGATATATTTGTCAAAACTCATTAAATGATACACATAAGGGTCAAGTGGTTTACTGTGCATACAATCTACCTCAAAAAAGAAACTACAAATCATACATACATATTGAAGTGTTTAGGTATAAAATGTATTTTCTTTGCAATGTAACAACAAAAAAGTGAACAGCATGGATACATGGATATACACAGATACACATAAAGGAGTATTTTTTTTTTTTTTTTTGAGACAGGGTCTTACTACATAGATCAGGTTGATCTCAAACTTGTTGCATAGCCCAGATGACCAGTGGCACTATACATTAATAAACAGTAAATGGTAGATGTAAAGTGTTCACTCTAATTCTTTTAAATTCTGAATGCTAGAACATTTTTAAATAAAAATCAGTATTTTTCTTCACCCAGAAAAAAGTTGTTTAAAAAATGTAACTAGAAGTTATGAGTGCATGTAAACTGATTGGTTCTAAAAATTCGAGCTGTGAGAGAAACAAAGTACATTTTTCCTATCTCTGAAACGAATTTAATGAGAGTCCCCATACTCCCCAAGGGAATAAATGAATGGTCACTCACCTTTTTTCTTTTCCTTTGCTTGGTTTTAGCAGTGTCTGGCCCAACACTCCCATTTCCGAGGGTCCCTGGCGTGGTCTTCCCTGGGTGCTGTGATCCGGATGGAGGAGCTGTGGGGGTTGGGGGTGGGGTGTTCTCAGGGGAGTCTGGGCAGGAGGACTTCATGCAAGATCCCTGCCGAGAGACATGGCTTTAAAGTCACATAACTAGGTCTTCTGCTAATATTAGTTTTGCTTTAATATCACATGATATAATGCTACTAAATTCTAAAATGTAAAAACACTGTTCTTATTTAGTTCAGAGAAATGAGCTCTATTTTGGCCTTAAAGGTTCCAAATATGTTAATTGTTTATCTAATTATTTAAGACAAAACCAGAATTCTTTAGCCCTAGCTTCTAACCCTCTGCTGGGCTTGTCACACACATTTCTGCATGGAGTCTTTGGTAGCATTTCACAAGGAGTCCTAGGTTTTTTTGGCCAAACTGGATGCCTTTCAGACGTTCCCCAAATCAGAGTCACCAGCACTTCCCCAGCACATAGACTTCATGCCAGGGGTCCCTGCAAGTCCTCCAGCCCTTTCCATTTCTCGTGCCTTCCTTTCTCCCTGATATTCCTCTTGACTCTAGTTTCTTGGGATATGACTATAAGTCTGTTCTCTCCCTCTTGCAGAAGTAGTGAAAAAATTTTGAAGACTGTATTTTCAGTCTCTTCTCTGGTATGGTCAAACATCCTAAATTCTTTCAACTGGTTATTATTAGTTATATTTTTAAGTCCTTCCTTTTTAACCCCTTGCCCCACACACTGGGTCAATGCCTATCCTGTAGGCCAGCACCCAGAAATTAAAATAAAAAAATTTCTTGTCACACCGCAGTGTTGATTTCTAGGAAATTTATAGGCAAATGAAAATCTCTAAACCTTTTTCCAGTATGGCATTATTAAATACATTTTCCTCATTCTTATCAACCATAATAATCATAATATATACTGGTCTACACTTCTCTACAATGTTTTAAAAATTATACTACAATTTACAAAATGTCTTGCTGAAATTGAGATTCTGGTTTCAAGGATATTTCTTAACCTGTTTGTGGAGAAACAGCATGAAATGAGAAAGAATATGGATAATCTGGTGTAACTTGTTCCTAGAATAATAAGATAAAGGCGGAGAATTCATTATCCATAATGCTTGGAATGAGAAGTGTCTGATTTGTGAATATTTGCATCACTTTTAGGCATCAGATTATAGCTACCTGTGTGTAAACTGTATGTTACAAACAAAACTTGAAAATTAACTCACAGGAAGAATCTGAGCTTAAGTAGATCAGTCCTTAATGGTTAGTGCTCAAGAATGATATTCTTATGAGGCATGAAAGAATGCCTATAATTACAGCAATATGGGAGGCTGAGACAGGAGAACTGAGTTTGAGGTCACCTGGGCTATGCAGCAAGTTTGAGGTCAACCTGATCTATCTAGTGAGACCCTGTCTCAAAAAAAAAAAATACTCCTTTATGTACATGTACTGGTATTAACCCCATGAGATTTAGGTTCCAATGCAGTTAGTATAGCATTGCCATTACTTCTACTTAAAACAACCTTCTGAACCCATCATCCTTCAGCCAAAATTTCAACTGTTATTTAATAACTCTAGGAGTCTAAGACTCTATGTATTGTGGATCTTCACCACTTAACAGTTTACCCCAAGCATCACTTGGGCAGTGTGTTTGTTTATGTACTGAGTATCTCAAGCATTGCTTGGGCAGGTGCCATTTCAACTAGTCAATTTTTGTATTGAATACATTTGATAAAGTTGTCATTTTTATATTTCCTATTATATCAACTTATAAAAATTAATGAAAAAATATGCAATTTTTGGTCATCCTATATTCAAATAATTGGACTGGTGCTGGTATGCGGTTAATTTCCTAATCAAACTTCCTGCTACCCCACCTCAATAAACCTTTAGCTTGAGTTTGTTTGCTTTGGTAGTAGGGCCTTTACTCTGAGCTACATCTGCAGTCCTTTTCATTGTTTTTGAGACAAGGTCTTACTAAGTCACTAAGTTGCTCAGGCTAGGTTTCAACTTGCCATCCTCCTGCCTCAGCCTCCCAGGGTTCTGGGATTGCAAGTACTTTCTTTCCTTCAACACTCAGCTTTCTCTCTGAGTCTTTGTAAGTACAGCTTATGTGTGTGTGTCTGATTTTAAACTCTGTACTTTGTTTCATTTAGAAATTGTTATATGGTATCTTGAACTGTCAGTTCATTTACTGCTTGTTTGTTCTCTCTTCCTGAACACAGCTTCTGCCTGCTGCAGAGTCCTCTCTGGACCCAGTTTGGTATAGTCCTGGATGTATAGTTGGCTGCTGATTGCAGGGCTGATAAGGAAGATTCCTGCCTCAGAATGGTATTCTTTTTGTCAGGTAATAAAGGGCAGGAAGGAGGTAGTCTTTAGGAATATTTACTGTCAGGGTCTTTAGGAATATTAACTCTGTCACAGAGGAGGCAAGGTGCCCACCATGCCAGGAAAAAGCTGAGGCTTATGCTAACATTGTCAGGACACTCTCTGACACTCATGCTCTTACTTTACAGAATGCCCAGGAAATCCAGCACACACAGGACATTTTTCTCAACTGCTGTGTAGCTGGGAACAGTCACTGTGGTTGCTGAGTAGTTGCCCAGGGCGGCTTGGCCACCCTGGAGAAACAAGAAAGGGGAGGGCTAAAGAGTTAGCCATACAAGCAATCACTTGAATGTTAAGGGAAAACTAGGCTTGTTATATTCACAGTAAATTTCCTCAATTAGAAATGTTACAACAAATTTGTCTGATGTTAATGGAAAGCATACTTACACACATATTCATACAGTGAACATGCATCAAAGACATTTTAAAGGGTGTTCTTTGACATCATAATTTGGGCTTGAAACATAAAGAAAACAAATAGTGTTTAATCAACTAAGTAAGCTCTCAGGACTTTAAAAATATGTTGACTGATAATGATGTATGATGTTTCCAAGAAAAAAAATGGATTTTTAGTGGGCAAAAACATTTTCATCCTACTTGGATTTAAAGGCAGTCTGATCCTCCGGGGCATATAAGAGGATGCCACGCTGATCTCTGCTTTGTAATGAGATGCTATATAGAGATGGACCTTGGTACGTTTTCTAAGTACCCTAAAGCAGAGATTGAACTTGGGGTCCAGTGTTTACAGATCCCATAGAGCCACAGGATGGCTTCATGGGGGTCTTTACAAACTGAAACTGTATGCAAAATTTATGAATGTGTCTATGGAGAAAGGATTTATAGTTTTCATCAGATTCTCAAAATGTCTGTAGCCCAAAACAGATTACAACTACTTCTTAGAAACTATTTCAGCCACCATCCTCACCTACTATTGAGAGAAGAAATATTTGCAATTAAGATACAGTATAGATATAAAACAGCCCTTTGCCATTTTTTAGGTTATACATTTGATTCAATTTGCTCTAAAACTCACCTAACAATTATATACATAGATGGAATAATATGAAACTGCTACTCATGTGTGAAAAAGGTAAAATATTGGCAAATATATTCAACGTTTATTACATTTCTTGTTTTTAGGCACATGTTGCGCCAGAGAATATTGTATATACTAACAGTAGTACACAGTTATTCTGCAAAACTTAAAAAAACAAGAAAAGCTGAGAGGCTCTGCAGACAGTGCTCCTAGGAGCATAAACCAGGTAAGAAAATGACCTGATTTTTATATCCGAGGGTTAATCTAAAGAGCAAATTAACCTGTCAGTGTTAAAACTGTAGTGCTTTCCTGTTTGGCTTGATTTTTATAGTATTTGCAGAAAATATAAATTTTAGTGTGTTTAAAATGATCTTCTCTTTTAGGCTTCGGACTTTTTGCAACTCTCTAAAATCATTTATTTTAGTAGCATTGGAGTAATTCCTGTTTAAATGCTTGATCTATTTGGATTTTATTTTATGTAAAACAGGAGTTGAGAACAAATGTCTTTTCTCTGTTAAAAAAAAAGCTAAAAATTAATGGAGCCATGCCTCTTTAAATCCTATTTATACAAAAATGAATAAATGAATTTATTTTTAAAATGCCAGGAATCATTACATGAGTAACAGTAACTGTTTTTTCTTTTTGGCAGTGCTGACAACTTGAACCAGAGCCTTCCTTGCACACGCTAGGCAGGTGCTTTTCCACTATGCTATCTCTTCAGCCCAACTCCATCTTTTGAGGCACAGAGAAGTAACTTTTTCCCATCATTATTGAATCACCTTAAGCAATTGTTCTTTCACAAGGAAATGAGATCAACTAGCTCTCTTGCTTTGAAAGGCTGGGAAAGGCAAGTTGAGCAGAAAAAGGGTAAGAAATGATATGAAGTAGACTGTCAGGGTGGGCCTAGCACAGAGCAAGCAACCAATAAATATCTGTTTAAATGGTGAATGTATAAGATTCTTTCACTGAAGGATACACACGCCTACATAATCTAAAGAACTACTAAGGCGAATCCCCAATATATAACAAAATTCAAAGATGTATTACAGTCAGATTTTCTGATACATACCTCGGGAGAACTGTGATACTGAATGAAGGTTGCAGAAATGGCATGGCTGAAAGGGTCCCCTGCTTTGGTTACCATGTCCTGCCTCACAAGAAGAGCCAGATCCACTAACTGGAAGATCAGAGCAATGGAAATAAAGTCACATGGCTGAAGTAGCAAACCTAAAAGCTACATAGCATGAGTTGCTGATAATGCTGTCTGCCTAACAACCTATATAGTGGGCATGAGCAGAGACTTTTACTGACTGCTTAATGGGCCTACGTATGAACACTAGTGAGGAGTAACCATTTCTAGGGGAACGGTCCTCAAGAGTCCTTTCATAATCACCAGGGGAGCATTTTGTAACACTTCCAGAGATTTTAGTTCAGGTCTGCTCTAATGCTAGTCAGGAGTAAAATGGTCTAAGGTGCTGTGCCCTTCAGTCCATGCCTGGAACAGTTCTTTCGGGGACCAGATTTGGGTGAGCACTTAACATGGCAGATGAAGACTTAAGAGTTTAATGTCATGAAAAAATATGCAATCAATTTCTGGTTAGGATAAAGTTTTTTTTTTAGGATAAAGTTTTGAAAAACTTTTTTTTTTTTTTTTTACTCTAACACCCACCAGAACTGAGGATGCGAAGAAATATAATTGAACTAAACTTTGGAAAATGATATGCCTGTGACAGCAGAGAATTCATGGCTGCTGTCATTGCTGCTAGAGCAGAAGTAGAAGAAAAACTGATCATGGACAGAGATAAAGCAGTAGCTACCATGTGTAGCTTGATGTGACAGTTTAGAATTCTTACCTGTGCCACTGTTTCATATGCTAAATATGCTAAAATTTCCATAGCAACAACGTTGGGTTTTATCTCCATGCTGTTGCAGTCCAACCAGTCTCGAAACTTGGAAGCTTTTTTGGCTAATTATCAAGAACAAAAGAAATTTAATGTTTAAAATGTTTTAATATTGTACATTAATACCACAAAATGAAAAATACCCCTTGAGAACTGCACAGTAAAAATAAGGCATAGAAAAGCAATGTTTTTGAACTTTTACTACAGTCCAGATTTTCCAGTCCCAAGAAATCCAAGATTTAACTGTTGATTACAAAGGAACACAATGGTTGTTGCCAGAACTTCCTTATGCACACAGGTCCTTTGTATTCTACCTATGGTATAAGACATAGTGAACTAAACCACTTAATGTTTCCCACTTCTCATATCGCTTTGGAGTATATCACCACTGGCCATGCTTAAATTATAGCAACGGTCAGAGAGTTGCTTGCTTGATGTAACTTTATTTTAATTTTGTGGAAAGAAAAATCTGAAGGAAGACTTTGTAATGAAAAAGGAACATATAAAAATTACATTTCTAATACTTTTCAAAATGTATATATTACTGGACTAGGCTCTAAATTATCAATTTAGAATAAAAGGAACTGTATTCAGCCTGATTTAAATCTGTTTTCCTGATTATGAAGATGTCAAAATTCCTAAGCCTGACTCAAAACCATCCAGACTGACTCCAACCTGCCTTTACACTTCTCCTTACCACCTGCTTGAGCACGGTCATCTCTACGCTAGGCCTGCCCCTTTCCTTCCATGGATGCTCCCCACCACTCCTTCATTCATGTGAACCCTGACCGTTTAGGCCAAAGACATACTTCCCACTCTAGCCCTTTACAGAAATCATCACATATCTTCAGTGTGTGCTTATATCTCAAGACAAGTCATAAGCTCTTTGTGGGCAAAGCCCATTCCTCCAGTCTTTTTGTGCTCCAACAGGGCCAAGCATATACTGAACCAGCAACACAAGGAACCTTTAACTAAATATAAGGCTAAATAACTATAAGGCTAAGCAGACAGTGGGAAATAGGTCCTTCTAAGACATCAGTAATATTTAACTAGTTACCTAGAAGGAAAATACTGATAGTGAAAATTTTATCAAATCTACAAGGTAATCTTTTTTTTTTTTAAAAAAGATTATTCTTTTGATTCATCTGTTCCCACTGGTCTATAAAACATGTAACAGTAACTCTAAAATTGATGTTTTGATCCTTACAGATTCTTCATGGATACCATAAACAGAAGAGTTTTCTCTCAAATAAATCTAAAAGACATGCAGTCTTGCTATTGAAGCACATATCCAAAGCTGTCAAACGTGGTAGAATTATGGTGATCCCCCTTAAAGCTATCTCTCTAAAGTAATTACTCTTCCCAATATGACATGCAATATTCCATCTAACTAGTAAGCTGGAATAGCTCACAAACACTTGTGTAACATCTGTGGAATACTTCTGAAGTTGAAGTTAATAGGCAACAATTTAGCAAGATCAATAAAATGTACCTTACTCGTCCCTCAGACAGGTCACCAGGAGCACAGAAACAGATATTTAGTGACCATACCTGTTTTGTTTTTTTTTTTTTGAGACAAGAGTTTTGCTATGCAGTTCAGGCAGGCCTTGAAGTCATTTTGTAGCCCAGGTTGGCCTCAAATTCGCAGCAATTCTTCTGCCTCAGCCTCTGAGTGCTGGGATTATAGGCGTGCACCAAGTTACCATACTCTTAACAACTTATTTTAACAGTGAAAAAAAGGGATCACTGTTAGTATTGGGTCAGATCTATGCACAAAACCAACAGCATTAACAGCTTCCTTGCCAGATTGTAAGCACTGAAGAGGCAGTGACAAGGACCACACAGTCATCGCTGCATCGCCATGAAATAATAACTGCTATGAGCAGACTCAAAAGAAGGATTTCTACAAGAGTTGAATGATTGGATAAAAAAAATTTCATTAATAGGAGGGTACAGCCCACACTTTTCTATTTATATAAAAAGATGGCTAGAGGTCCCTTAAACACTTGGATTGCTGCTTTCCATTGACCAGTAAAGATTGTGAGTTAGTTCCTTCCCTGTCACCAGGGAGAGGCTTACTTCAGAGATGGGCTCTTCCTTCTACGGTGTGACAGTTTGTCTACACAAGAGGTAAGGGAATGAGATCCTTCCTCCTCATTCCTTTTGCCAACATATCAGGAGAACGGATCACCTGGAAACTAACAATTTAAATAGAATCCTCCACAAAAGGCCACAGTTCAACAGGATTCTGAAACTATTTGAGTTTTCAGCCTGCCATATAAATAAAACAACTCTACATAATGATTTAATAGGGAAATTTAATCTCATAAGCTTTTTGTCTTTCTGATTAATGATCACTACCAGATATACTATAGTGAAAGCAAGTTTTGCAAATCAGTATTAGTATCAGACTGAAAAGACTGACTTATACACATAGAAAAACAAATGACAATTGAATCTGACCCCTGTTCTGATGCTACAACTTATGCTCTGTTCATAAAGTGATAAACTTATAATTTACGAATGTACTGGGAATCGCAGTGACTGCTCAGATCAAACACTTAGGAAGATGCCAGCTGTGGTGGTGCACGCCTATAACCTAGCACTTGGGAGGCTGAGGTAGGAGGACTGCTGCAAGTTTGAGGCAAGCCTGGGTTACAATGTGAGTTCAAGGCCAGCGTGACTTCATAGCAAGATGCTGTCTCAAAAGCAAACAAACAAACAAACAAACAAACAAACAAACAAACTTACCTTATGAAGACAGGCATGGCAAGATCAGGGTCTCTATATCTGGTAATTTATGGAAAGGGGAAAATGAAGAGACCCCTGCCAACCTACCCGGACTAAGCACCCTTGACCTTGGTATTGGATAAAACTGACTCTTCCACCAGGGTTTCCTAAGGAGGCCCCTATGAACACCACAGACACAATCCCTTCTCTCTCCAGAAAAGAGATTGAAGTATAATATACTGTTTATTCTATGATTATTATTTTATATAGAAAGGAAAATTTTAATTTCTAATTATTGTGTTAAAAACAAAAAAGAAATAAAAAGTCTAACTTTCAAATAAAAGGCATATTAGGAGACTTGAGACTATTAGTTTTAGTGTGAAATAGAACTTTTGGTCCTTTAAGTGAATTAAACTTAAAATATGATTTAAAAATAGTTCAACTGCACTAAATGTTACTTTATAAGCTAGAGATTTATATTTACAAGACTTGAATGCAATTTTTAAACCTATAAATTACAATACAAAACCTCTCATTTGCTGAAATTGCCATGATCTGAAGTGTCATTTACTTAATGCTTCACAGATGTCTGATGCCAAATTGTTAGCCCAATTGGAAAGTATATTTAGTTGGGAAAAGTCTTCCAAAACATGTTTTTCTATATTTCTCTGACATTTACATGGGACACTATTTGATATGTGTCATTTATTTGTACTTTATGATCTATAAATGCAGCTCTCGTTTTCCATTTTCTAAATCAAATACGCTGCTACTATGACTACAAAATGGCTTTTTGTTTGAAGACACCATTGTTTCTATAATCCCTCAGACCAGGCTCATGTGCTACTTGATCATATTTCTAACTGGACTTTTCCTCCACTTTCTCTTTGACCTTTACCCCAAGAGCCTTAGTCATCGCTTAACTGCTGCTGTAAGGATATTTTGCTTCACAATCCAGCTCACTAGTATGAGTCTTTGTGTACTTTTAAGAAGCTGGTGCTCACTGATGGGAAAGAACAAATTTTATTGTTAAGTTATTACTGTCATGAGGTCATGGTCTAGTGAATTTGGCTAACACTGAACCCACAGTAGGAGGTTAAAGATGAAAAAGGAAAAGACTATTGATCTGAGAATTCAGAAGAGGAAATTTGGTATTTATACTTAATACTGGGGTTTTTCAATGCCATGACTGTACTAGTAGAGGCCACTGTAGCTTAAGTACAGTCAGCAGTACTAGTACAAATATGACTAAGAAACTGGAAAAGAATATTAAGAAAAAGGGAATTTTTCTGACTCAAGGTAATCTGGATAATTAACATGGCTCTCCATGTATTACTAATATCCTTTAAAACCCCTTAGAACTATTAATCACAAAATGGTAGAATGTGAAAAAAATCTTTTTTTCATTCTGCCACAATGCAGAATTTGTTTCTGTGACAGTTGTAACTATGTATAAATTAAATACACCAATTCCTAAGGAAAAGAGCATGGCACAGTTTATTACATCTGTAAGACATACTCTCTTATACATATAATTAAGCAGTTAAATACTTACTTACAGAAACTTAATTGTCGACTTTCACAGAATTCTGCATATTGAGCTGAATCCATAATTCGAGTCTGTCTTTCTGCTCTCTAGTAGATAAAGGAAAAAAAAGATGTAAAGGATATAGGCTCACAACTAAAACTCGGGCTTGACGTACTGTATTGTTTTTCTTTCCTTATGTATCATGGTACATAAAATCATGGTAATAGCAATTGTGAATCTTGTTTCTTTCAGAAAAAGTTTAAAATATTTTCTGCTTCTTTGTGATTGAAACTAAAGCTGACAGACCTAATTTCTTAGACTGTGCATTTCTAAAATTTCTTAATTCTACCATTCTTTCAAAGAAAACTGTGAAGGGGTAAAAACCAAACAGAAAAATCATTATTAACTATTATTGCCCATCTGCTTTAAAGTGGTAATGTTTCTATGTTAAAATGGGAGTCAGCAAATAAAATCCATATATTTCCCCTCAGAACATGGTGCCAGAGGTAACAAATCTTTATTTGAAATTGCAAAGAAAATAAAGAAAAAGGTAAACACAACACAGATCCTTTAATCTGAGTCCAGGTATGATTCACAGTTTGGTATAGTTTTGTTCGTTGGTTTCTGATTCAGTAGAGCAGATGTTTGCTGCTTCTCTGTCTCACAAGAGGTAGGATAATTATAATTCACCCATGGTCTGGTGGGAAAGAATATAACCACTTCCGCTTCCTTGGTAGGGGAAGCATTTTAAAATGAGACAAGCTGGTACTTCTTGGAATGAGTTTCTGGTCAGCAAAGGAAAAAATTCCCTGAGATTTAAAATTGTTTTCTACTTTGGAAGGACTTTTAGCAACTTATCTTTATCACTATTGTTGGGCCACATAAGTACTACTTCTTCTAACGTCCATGGATGTTTTTGTATTTTAAAAACTGAAGTTACTCTTTCCTTTTTATTTGATTAGAGTGGAGCAGTCAACTTCAATGATATGTCGGCTGGTGGAACAAATAATGCTGTGTTAGCTACCGTTCAATACAGAAAAGATAAATGCAGTGTAGGAGCTCAAGTTAAAACTACTAACTGCTGTTGTTTCTCCTAAGACTGCTATTTTTCCCTTCCTTGTCTTCTCTTTTTCTATCTTTTCCTTTCTTTCTTTACTTCCTTCCCCAACATAAAAATTCACAAACATACTTATGCGAAGACATAAATACAGACTTTCCTTATTTATTCTGTAGGTTCAAATACCCTTTTAAAGCATTTATGACCAAATAAATACTTAACATATAAAGTGTTTGCACACACATGTGCATATATGTATATACAGGCATGTGCATTGTTGTGTGCATGTTTTAGAAATACCTTAAAAGAGTGTGTCACTGGGTGAGTTCTTATGTACTTGGAAGGATTTCTGGATATATAAATGCATGATTTACTTTTGGACTTCTTTTCTTTTTTGTGTATCTGACAAATGATTCAAATATTTACTGATAGAAAACAGAAAGCCAAGAAAAATTTACTTGTGTTTTTAACATAATGAATGCATTACTAATGTATTTACTTAAAAAAATCCTCTACGACTGATAACACTCATTTACACATATCTGTGAATATATATTTGCTTATAAGTATATTTGTGTCTGACTTTAGCAGGAACCTCTCAGGTTTCAATTTCTAGCACCTAGAAAAAAATCTGACACATGGCAAATAAACAATGAACATTTTTAACAAATGCCACCATTTATTCTACAGGGTAAATAATGATGATCACGGTAAGTCCCTCAATTTCCATGTATCCTACGTATCTTCTCTGTCACTGTTTAGCTAAGTGGCTGCCTCATCCACTCAATGTGTAGTCTACAAAAAGGACATAGATCATCTATGGAAAAAAAATCCAAATGCTCCAAAAGGGATTCAACATTTTCTTCCTGTGTATATGCTTATATAGTTGGTTTACCTGCAATAAATTATAACAGACATTTAATTTAGGAAAACCTATCCTTTTGGATTAAGGTTGTTGGAGAGGCCGGCTTTAATTAAGTGAAGCGTGTAGCCAGTAGGAAGTTCTGGATGGCTAAACCTATAATTGGACTATAGTTCAATGATACTCATAAATATCTGAAGAACACCCAATTATTATAACTAACTTCATCCCTTTCAGACATCCCGTTCAGTGCCCATCCTCCTCTGTCCACTAAGCATCTTCATTCTTTTTCAGTTCTTCCAGCGTCTAAGCAGGAACCTCTGATTTAAGCAGCACCAGGCAGCCATTTATCCAGAGGCCGGCACACAGGAAAATGCAAGGTGGCTACTCAATAGTGAGGATTTATGAGCATGTAGAGGAGAGCTCCAGAGTAGCTTAAAGTTTATCTTGTTTCAGCCTCTTCATTTTAAAGATATGGAAGCTGAGGTTCAGAGAGAAGGAATTTGATAAAAGAGATTGAGTTCAGACTGCAGCCCAGGAAACTCCATTTCAGAGCTAGCCTATCTGCATTATAAAAAAGTGATCTCCAACCTTTTTTTTGGTACTCCGATGTCCTATTCGCTGATCTAACCAGAACTGTATAGCTGTAATAAAATCATATAAATTCCAGAAAGGGTAGACTGTATAGCCATAATAAAATCATATAAATTCCAGAGAGGGTAGGCTGTTTGTAAGACCCATTAAAAATATAGGCCAAATATTAATAATTGACCAAATATTAGTACTTTTGACTTTTATTTTTTGTATCATCCTGACTCCATTTTCCTCCTTGCCTTTATTCAAATCACTAACCCTAACCCATTCTGACCTGTACAGTGGTAGTTCTTTTCTAATCCTGTAGTAAGAAATCTCTCCAGACAAAGTAGAAAGGGAAATAATACTAAAGCTAGTACAGGAACCTGATCAAAATACTAATGACTACTCTATGTAAAGTAGCATAACCTGTAGGAGAAACAGGTTTAATAGCTCCATTTACAGCCGAGGACACTGTGGTTTACAGAAGTTAACGGAAACCTTAACAGCATAAAGAGGCACAGCTAGAAGGGGGAAACCCTGGAGTCCTACAAACCTCCTCCAAAGTCCACATAGCTCCTCGGAGAAGACTTGTGTGTCTCGTATTCTGTGTAATGAAGGCTCCACGCCCTTCAGATTCTGGCTTCTGAGCCAGGTCTTAGGAAGTAAGCTTCAGTATCAAAGTGTCATTTTAAAAGGGCACTTTAAAGTTCATTTGAGCATTCTATATGTTCATGAAACCAGAATAAAAACAACAACATACTGCTGGAATACTGAAAAGACAAATCTCTTAAATAAGAAAATCACTGAATAATCCTAACTGGCTCATCATCACGGGCTCTATTCATACTGAACACTCAAATGATTACAATGGTCTCCTGATCTCAGCCTGCCATGAGTGCAAGGTCATCTTCAGATGAATCATGTTCTTGGATCTGCAAGTCCAGTTCACCCTCTGTTTAATCAGCCCAGCCTGCCCCTCCCTGGTTTCTTTAGATATCAATAGTGTTCCTGAACATTCAGAAAAATACATAACATATTCATCTCTTTTTGAAATTAAATCTCACTAGTGTTACAATATAGCACAGTATTACAATATAGTAGCACACATAGCAAGTGACTTTTGAAAGAATTATTTCTAAAATTGATCAAATATTGAGCAATGTTTTAAAGTTTAACTGGAGTAGATCTGTAAAGAGGTCAAGAGTATGGGTATGTTATCAGTCACTTGTCTTACCACCAAGAAGTTACAGTTTTTTCTGGTTATTGTAAAACAAACTTGGAAGCCAGATTTCCATGCCAGATGCACTCATGTTCTGGATCCTACCTAAATGAAAACAGGAAAGCAACTATCCCCATTTATGTAGTATCCGGTATAATTTGTTTGTTCAGTATCATGAATAGAACATACTTTTGGTACATATTTGTTAACTTGACTTCAGTTAAGGGAAGTGGGTTGTGTCTTTGAAAACTACTTCCAGCAAAGACAATCATCCCTTGCCTGAAGATATGTCTGAGGCTGAAGGCTGGAGTGCATATGCAGCTGGCATGCCACTGAAACTCACCATGTACTTTCACAGTACAGAAGCTACACGCTGGTATGTCTCTTGGCAGGTTCTCAAGGTGCACAACATTTATCTTTCTTCAGTAACAGAACTAGAACATAACTTTCAAACCGAAAGTTTATCTGCTCTTACTTCTACATAAAAAAAGATTTTATCCAAAAATCTTACTGTGATTACTCTCAGAAGTCTTACCATTGAAAAATAAAGTTTATTCTGTATGGAAAGGACAAAATGCTGGTCATAATCTATCAACTACCTTATGTTCGACAGGAACTGATGAACCTGAAAATATCAAATGGAGAGTGGCAGCGCCATTCAGCTGCGTGACAGAATGTTTATGTATCTTTATGGACATGGATGTGCATGCATATGGATGTACTATATGCTACATTAGCTGAAGGATACTACAAAACTGCTGACTCCAGACTACTGAAGAAACATCCCCAAATCACTACAGATAAGGAAGATGAGGCTCTGAAAGAGACAGTAACAGAGGCATTTTGGTACCCTAGAGTGTGTTTACTCTGCTAGGTCAGTTTATAATTTACATTTCCCCTACCCAAAAGTTAACTCCCTCCCTCAAAACACATAGTATATCAGGAGCGATGGTGTACACCTGTAATCCCAACTCTTTGAGAGGCTAAAGCAGGAGGATTGCAAGTTCAAGTCCAGACTGGGCAACCTCGCAAGACCATGTCTAAAAGTAAAAGATACAAAAATGGCTGGGGATGTTTCTCAGTGAGCAGGCCCTGGGTTCAGTTCCTAGTACCACAAAAAAACCAAAACAGAACAAAATTCATGGTAGTTTCCCTTCTTAATCTGCTGCAAAACTCATCATTCTGGGACTGAAGTACTGTAGCAGGCTCCTGTCATATAACTTTCCTCTCCTAACCTATTATGGGTACAAGTACTTTAAGTAAAAATGTAACTACAACCTAACCTGGCCATTCTACCTAGGCATACACTGTCCTCACTAAACCCTAACTGACTGTGTTCGCACTTGCTGTGTTATGGACTCCTGCCCTCCCCCAGTACTGCACTGGCCATTCC